GCCTGATGAAAGAAAATTGCACATGTCCAACAACAGAATCAAGCCTGATGGGAGAACAATTCACATATCTACAAGATAGTCCTTCTGCATGTTCCAAGATACTCCTTCCACATGTTCCAAGAGAGTCCTTCCACATGTTCCAAGTTAGGTCCTTCCGCATGTTCCAAGAGAGGCCTTCCACATGTTCCAAGAGAGTCCTTCCACATGTTCCAAGATAGTTCTTCCGCATGTTCCAAGTTAGTCCTTCCGCATGTTCCAAGATAGTCCTTCCGCATTTCCAAGATAGTCCTTCCGCATGTTCCAAGATAGTTCCTTCCGCATGTTCCAAGATAGTCCTTCCGCATGTTCCAAGAGAGTCCTTCCGCATGTTCCAAGAGAGTCCTTCCGCATGTTCCAAGAGAGTCCTTCCGCATGTTCCAAGATAGTCCTTCCGCATGTTCCAAGAGAGTCCTTCCGCATGTTCCAAGATAGTTCTTCCGCATGTTCCAAGATAGTCCTTCCGCATGTTCCAAGATAGTTCTTCCCGCATGTTCCAAGATAGTTCTTCCACATGTTCCAAGATAGTTCTTCCACATGTTCCAAGATAGTTCTTCCACTTCCGCTGTTCCAAGATAGTTCTTCCACATGTTCCAAGATAGGCCTTCCACATGTTCCAAGATAGTTCTTCCACATGTTCCAAGATAGTTCCTTCCACATGTTCCAAGATAGTTCTTCCACATGTTCCAAGATAGTCCTTCCGCATGTTCCAAGAGAGTCCTTCCACATGTTCCAAGATAGTCCTTCCGCATGTTCCAAGATAGTCCTTCCGCATGTTCCAAGATAGTCCTTCCGCATGTTCCAAGATAGTCCTTCCGCATGTTCCAAGATAGTTCCTTCCGCATGTTCCAAAATAGTCCTTCCACATGTTCCAAGATAGTTCTTCCACATGTTCCAAGATAGTTCTTCCACATGTTCCAATATAGGCCTTCCACATGTTCCAAGATAGTCCTTCCACATGTTCCAAGATAGTTCTTCCACATGTTCCATGAGAGTCCTTCCACATGTTCCAAGATAGGCCTTCCACATGTTCCAAGATAGTCCTTCAGCCACTTTTTAACTACTTGTGTCAGGAGGATGATTGTGTTCAATGGGCAAGAATCAAGTGCTTATGTAAGTGAGTGCAATATCAAGCTGTGCCCTTGTCAACCTGACTTCATCTTATCCTAATAATACGCGAACAATTTACCCAAACCCGTGCGCGTCGCAATGTAGCATCAAAAGAGGAATAAGGCTCTCATTTGAGCTTTACCATTCCACTATGTTACGTAAAAGTCATACTAATGTGGTATCATTTTAATAAGTAGACTTGGCTGGATATACAGTATTTTGCAGTAAATATTGAGATGCACAAATTACATAAACGTTATGTTGGAAAATATTACAGTAAAATGCATTTTTTCAGGTTTTATTTTATTATTTACTCCCCAAAATAGGAAAAACAAAAATCACAAAAGGAAATAAAAATATACGTATCCAAATTTGCTATCAAAGTAAAGCCCTATTTATATATAAAAAAAAAACTATGTATAAGACATTAGGGTAGATTACAAAACCTAAAAGACCTGTGTGGAACCGACATGAAAAGAATGCTCTGTACAGCCAAAGCTCGTTTGGCTGTAATTCTCCTGTGGATCACAAAAGTGCAGTTCGTTCTACACTCCTATGACCTGTTTTTTTACCCAGCAGCGTGCTAAAGCCTGCTGTCAGCTGACGTCACTCACCCGGTTCATGCTCAGGAAAGACCTCATCTTTAAAGTTGGGATCCACCCAGATGCCTGGACCGGCAGCTGGCTTTGCCTCTTAGCATGTTGCTGAGAACCTGAGCCAGCTGCTCTCACCCTCTCCACAGTCCGGCACTCCGGTGAGCGCTGGAGGGGCAGAGTAGAGAGTGGTGACTGACAGTCACTGACTCTCAGCTCACTGAAAACTGAGAAACGAGCAATCAACGGTATTTGATTGCACAGAAATGGTGGAGGACAGATGCAGCATCAGATCCATGCTGTATCCACAGAGGTGAGTATTATTTAACAAAAAGAAAAAAAACATTCTTTTAAGGAAGTATAAGCCTAGACTTGGAATGGTCTGCATGGTAAGAGGTATGTAAGGGGTGGTTTTTATTATTATTGTCATGAGTTCAGCAATGTTCCTGTCATTACAGGTAGACTTTAAACTTGAACTCTGGTCAGCTGATAAAAATCCTCTTTTGGTAGCCTCATCATATAATGAAGTTCTAACATTAATTTAGTCCAAAGGTCACTAAATGGCAGACTGTGGCCTGCGAACGGCCCCAGCAACACTGCCGCCTGGACCGCCAGAACAAAATGCCAGATCCGCCGCTGAGCAGGACGGTGGTCCGGCAACATGACATCACATGTTCGCCCCTACCCTTTCAGCTCACTGTCTCTCCGGCTCCCGTTCCCTGCCTGTACACATGCGTCCAGCAAGGATTCCGGCACAGCTCCTGTCTGCCCTCAAAGTAGGGTGTAGTCTTAGAGGGGCACTCTGATGGGCACATTGAATATTAAGGGGCACTCTGATGGGCACAACATAGAATGTGCCCACCAGAGTGCACCTTAAAATAACATGTGCCCATCAGAGTGCCCCTTAACATAAAATGTATCCATCAGAGTGCCCCTCAATATAAATGTGCCCATCAGCATGCCCCTTATTTTAGGTTAAGGGGCACTCTGACAGGCACATTTTATGTTAAGGGGCACTCTGGTGGGCTCATTTTATGTTAAGGGGCACTCTGACATGGGCACATTTTATGTTAAGGGACACTCTGATGGGTACATTTTATGTTAAGGGACACTCTGATGGGTTCATTTTATGTTAAGGGGCACTCTGTTAAGGGGGTACATTTTATGTTAAGGGACACTCTGATGGGCCCATTTTATGTTAAGGGGGCACAAATGGGCACATACTGTGGAACATTGTGATGGAAAGGGGCACTCTGATGGGGAATATGTTGTATAGGGGCACTCTGATAGAAAGGGGTACTTTGAGTGTAAGGGGGCACTCTGATAGAAAGGGGTACTTTGAGTGTAAGGGGCACTCTGACAGGAATACCTGATGTAAGGTGGCAATGTGATGGGGATACCTGATGTAAAGGGGCACTCTAATGGGGACAACTGATGTGATGGGAATACATGATGTAAAGTTGCACTCTGATGGCGACACCTAATGTAAGGGGGCACACTGATGGGCACACCCTATTCGGACCTCGGGCAGAAGAAAATTTTATTGACCAGACCTCCTTGAATTTTAATTCAATACCCCTGATTTAGTCTATTGCAGGACTGTCAAACTGGTGGCCTTTGGAACCTTCTATTGTGTCAGCAGAGCACCAAGTGCCGTAGTTGCTTTACACTCCAGCACCTGGCCCTGCAGGTTATCCCACCACTTTCAGGTGAAGTAATCTCTCCTCGGTCACAGGTTAGTTCTACCTCTAACTAGAGAGGCAGAGCAGAAGCATGTAATCAGGTAAGTAAACACTGAACACCATAATAACACATGACACTGTAATCATAGACTACTTTACTCTCAATGACACCAATGATAGGGCTTATGTTATCCCCAATGACACCAACAAGGGGGCTTAATTTACCCCCACTGACAACGATGAGGGGTGTTATTCTACTTCTACTTACACCAACAATAGGGCTTAAATGCTCCCACTGACACATACAATATGGTTTTTGTTACTCTCAATGACACCAACAATGGGGCTTATTTCGCTTCCACTGATACAAACAATGGAGCTTATTTTTCTCCCACTGACATCAACAATAAGACTTTACTCCCAATGAGGAAGGGTCTGATTTTGCTTCTACTGATATCAACACTGGGACTTATTTTCCTCCCGCTGACACCAAATATGGTAAGATGGTATCCCTAATATTTCTTACAAGTATTTGTATAAAACTTCAGTATACACAGTGCTTTAATAGGGTTAGTTCTCCTACCAGCATATCTTTGGAGCATGGGAAAAAAAACCCATGCAAACACAGGAGAACATGAAAACTCCAGGCAGATTGTGCCGTGACTGAGATTTGAGTGCTTCAAGGCAGAATTGCCAACCACTTTGCCACTGTGCTTTCTTTTCCTGGCTTTATTATGCTTTATATGGCCACTGTCATCTTACTTCCTGGGCTTTTCCCACTGTGCACACGCTTTGGGTGCTGTGTATACCCTGGATGGAGTATGAAATTGGTGTAAATTTAGTTATGGCCCTCCCCTCAACCCATGGATACAAAGGTGGCCCTTGTGACCTGTTAAGTTGGAAACCACTAATCTAGGATGATTTAACCATTTGCCTACCGGCACTTATACCCCCTTCTTTACCAGGCCAATGTTCAGCTTTCAGCGCTGTCGCACTTTGATTGACAATTGCGCAGTCATGCAACACTGTACCCATATGAAATTTTTATCATTTCTTTCTCACAAATAGAGCTTTCTTTTGGTGGTATTTAATCGCTGTTGGGCACTTTACTTTTTGAGCTATAAACAAAAATTTCAAAAAATTTGAAAAAAAAAAAAAAAAAGTTTCTTTGTTTCTATTATAAAATTTTTCAAACAGGTAATTTTTCTTCTTCACTGATGTGCGTTGATGAGGCAGCACTGATGGGCACTAATAGGCGGCACTGATGGGTACTGATAGACAGCACTAATAGGCAGCACTAATGAGCTGGCACGGATAGGCGGCACTGATAGGCAGCACTAATGAGGTGTCACGGATAGGCGGCACTGATAGGTGGCACTGACTGGCATCACTGCTGGGCACTGACTGGCGGCACTGCTAGGCATTGACTGGCGCAACTGCTGGACACTGACTGGCACAACCGCTGGGCACTGACTGGTGGCACTGACTGGCAGCACTGCTGGGCTGCACTGATGGGCACAGGTGGGTGGCACTTGTGGGCACAGGTGGGTGGCACTGCTGGGCACAGGTAGGTGGCACTTCTGAGCACAGGTGTGTGGCACTGCTGGGTGGCACAGGTGGGAGCACTGCTGGGCACAGGAGGGTGCACTGCTGGGCACAGATGGGCACACTGCTGGGCACAGGTGGGCGGAACTGGTGGGTTGCACTGCTGGGCACCGATCATCAGGACACTGATCATCAGTGCCCTGATGTTCGGTTCCGATCCCTGCTCTGACAACTGCCGGTTCTCTGCAGTACTTTCCTCACGATCTGACAGCGTGAGGAAAGTGCAGCCGAGAACCGGCAATTGCATTTCCCTCTGATCAGCGTGTCATTGGACACGGGCCGATCATGGTAAAAGGCCGCTGTGATTGTCTCTTTACCACATCACGTGATCAGCTGTGTCCATAGGACACAGCGATCATGGAGATTGTTGGGTGGGCGCCCCCCGGGGGGTGCAGGAGAGCGCATTCTGGGAGGACGTCATATGACGTCCTCCCAGAGCTAGCCGGCCGCAGTGTAGCCATCATTCGGCTATGTGCGGTCGGCAAGTAGTTAATAGAGAAGGATAATTACCTTATCCCTGAGTTAACGGCAGCTATCAACGGCTCCTACCCTTAAGTGTGGTCCTGCCTTGTACAAGATGGTGTCAAATGAACGGACAGCCAAACGAATGGCGAAGGGGAGCCCTGCTGGATCAGTGGGGATTATATACAGTAAAAGGAAAAAGCCTGTGGGAGTTAGGTACAAGGTAAGTTATCCTGCTTATCACATACCCCTCTAGACTAAATGAGCATTTGACCCCTAATAAGTGGGTGGAAATGGGGGGGAGGCAGAATGGAGTTAAAAGTTAAAGAGAAATAGTAATGGTTTGTATCAGTATTATATTAGGTGTTATAGCTTTTTTTTTGTTTACTATTTGTTGGTATTTACAGTTTAACACAGTACCATAGGGTTAGCTACAGATATATCAGAGAATGCCAATCTTAATATGGAACTATAGGCAAAATTTCTTTTGTTCATTTTGGATTGAGTAAGGGATGGTTATAACCACTGGCGGACTGACAACTCATGGGGCCCCCGGGCAATAGGGGATCATGGGGCCCCTTTGTCCTCGCTCACACCCAAAAAAAACCCTATGAAAATGCCAACGAAAGGTACCAGGCAGGGGTGGACTGACAACTCATGGGGCCCCCGGGCAATAGGGGATCATGGGGCCCCTTTGTCCTCGCCCACACCCAAAAAACCCTATGAAAATGCCAATGAAAGGTACCAGGCAGGGGCGGACTGACAACTCATGGGGCCCCCGGGCAATAGGGGATCATGAGGCCCCTTTGTCCTTGCCCAAACTCAAAAAAGCCTATGAAAAAGGTACCAGGGGCATCTCATGGGGCCCCCTACTGACCCCGGGCCCTTGGGCAGAGCCCGAGTTTCCAAATGGTCAGTCCGCCCCTGGTTATAACCCCTGTCAGTTTATTGATTTCCTATTATTTCGTGCCCCAGAGGCAAAACGAAAAATCCCTCAAAAGTGAGGTAGCCCCGGGTGTTCACCAGGTTCTAGTGTCCCTATTGGAAGATTTCCCCTCACTTCTTGTTCTGGTGACAATGCAAAAATTTGGGGTTTACTTTCACTTTTCAGTGGTAATGGTAAACAGGACAAATAGAGTGGGTGAATTTTCCCAATGGGGGGTAATGAAAAACTCAAAGGGGTTCTAATCCTTCACCATTCTATCTAAAACTAAAACAAATGCCTTTAGTTCTACTTTAAGGCTTGGTTTCCCTGAATGAAACATCAGACAGCCCAGTCTAGTGGGGATGAGTCATTGTGCTGTGTCATCCACATCATAGTATTCATTTAAACTTGAGCTACTGAGGTCTCCAAGCAACATGAGGGGCTAAATGGAGCTTGTTAATATGTGAAAGGTTACCTAACATTTTAACTGCTTTCTCATAGAACAATTATAAATAATTATATGAATATTTAAAAATTTCATAAAAATTATATTATTTACATGTAATTTTTTAAGCCCTGACCCACCCTATGTAATCTTGATAAAGGAGAATTTGGACAGAACCACTATACATTACCTTCAAATTGTTGTGCAAACACTGAGGTTTAGATGCCATCTAGTGATAAATATAATAATTGCACTATTCATTTCAAATGTGTTTTTATTGTAGCCTTAAAAGTCTATGTTATAAGACTTAAAAGAGTTTTTATAACTCACTGAGAATGTAGATCGAGGCATGACTCGATCAGGAAATTGCAAACATAAGTTGATTCTAGTGAATAAATATTCACTGAAGAGTAGCAATGGGGCTGATTTACTAAAGGCCAATAGACTGTGCACTTTGCAAGTGCATTTGCTCCAGAGCTTAGTAAATGAGAAGCTACACTTGGCAAAGAATACCTAATTGATTTATTTATTTCAGGTACTTATATAGCGTTGTCAGTTTACGCAGCGCCTTACATATATATTGTACATTCACATCAGTCCCTAACCCTCAAGGAGCGTACAATCTAAGGTCCCTAACTCACATTCATACATACACATACTAGGGACAATTTAGACAGGAGCCAATTAACATACCAGCATGTCTTTGGAGTGTGGGAGGAAACCAGAGTACCCGGAGGGGAACCCCACACAGGCACAGGGAGAGAACATGCAAACTCCAGGCAGGTAGTGCCGTGGCTGGGATTTGAACCAACGATCCTAGTACTGCCAGGTGGAAGTGCTAACCATTTAGCCACCCCGCACAGGCACAGGGAGAACATGCAAACTCCAGGCAGGTGGTGCCGTGGCTGGGATTTGAACCAACGATCTTAGTACTGCCAGGCAGAAGTGCTAACCATTTAGCCACTGTGCTGCCCACTCACATGCAAGGAAAAAAAAAAAAAACACAATATTTTGGCTTGACCCTGCCTGGATGGATGATGGAAGTCAATAGAGCTTCCTCTCATTTACTAAGATAAGAAGAAAATGCCCTTGCACAATCTACTTAACTTTAGTAAATGAACCTCAATGTCTAGACAGGTGAAGGATACAGAAATTCATTTATATTGAAAGTCTATTGAAGTAACTATGTTTGTTTGTTCATTGCAGAAGCTACGAGCAGCAAAAAGTAGCAAGTTTATCTTTTTTTTGTATTTTTTAGTTTTTTGAACTGTGAAGGATTAGAATCTATAAATGTGGTACCATAGTGTACTGAGCTGTGCTAGAATGTATGTACAAGATCAACCTAGGTATGCACCTCCATATATGGTGGGACTGCCCAGCGACTCACAATTTTTGGAAGTCTATCTTCGACCCGGTTTTAGGACTATTCGATGTTGCTATCCCACCTGATCCATCAGTGGCTCTCCTGAATCTCAAGCAGACAAGCCCGTATAAACGTTTATTACAGCTCAGTAGAGCCATGAAACAAACTGTAGATAAATCCTGGAAGTCCCCAAATCTTACTGTAGCCGCAACCAACAACAGGGTAAACCAGGCATTAATCTATGCCAAAATAGAAGCTATCAGTCAAGATAAAGTTTGTAAATTCGAGAAGGTATGGCATCCTTGGATAAAACATTGCCTTCCCCCTAATTTCAGTGAATCATTGCTACTACCTTGGTAGACCCCCATTGTGAACGGCACTGCCTCTCTATCTCATGCTATTAGAGCCATCCCACCCACTGGGGATCTTCCTCTACCTCATCTTTCTTTCTGCTTTGCTTTTCCTCTCTTTTTTTTCTTCTTCTTTTTTCACCCTTCACAGCCTTTTTCCCTCCTTCCCTCCTTGCTTCTTTCATAGTTTAGGTTACAGTAATGGTATTGTTCCCAAGCCGGTGCTATGCCCATATTTACCCATAACAGCTGGCCATTACCTTTTATGTTGGCTACGTTGGGTGGCATTCTGTAGTAACCTCTCCTATTCCTTTCTGAGGTAGCTATTCCAGCAGTTTCGTTATCAGTAGCTTCATGTTTGATATACAAAGTTACTGTTGTATTTGTGCCTGAATTGTGATTCCCTCATTTTTCACCCCCTATCTGAGTAGATGTATGGTAATTCCTATTTTTATGCCATTTACTGTACCTGAATTGTTTCTGTTATGTTTAAATGTCAATAAACATATGTGACAAAAATGTATGTACAAGATACACTATATTGCCAAAAGTATTGGGCCAGCCCTCCAAATCATTGGATTCAGATGTTCCAATCACCTCCATGGCCACAGGTGTATAAAACTACCCCTGGTGCTATTCCCAAGTGTAGCTCGGGGTAAAGTTTCAGCACCAAAAGCAGTAACCCTGAGCTACACTCGGGAATAACCTGCGGCGTTGCTCCGGGATCCCTTCTGCACTTACCTTGTCCTTCGCTCCCGCGATGTCCCTCCTGCAGCGTCTCGGCAATGTTCTCCAGACCATGCCAGAATCCGTCTTCCGGGTTCCGTTCCTTGCGACGTCGGGATGTACGGGGGATGGAATGGCGGGAAATTTAAAAATGTTAAAAAGTGACATTCACTAAATACACTAAAATCACATAGTATAACATTCCTGTATCAAACCATTTCACATACATTTTGTCCCGAGTGCTTTGTCCTGTGCCCTACCTGCATTTTTACTGTTCTTTCTGCCTGGAAACTGAGAAACGTCCATGGTGTCCAAAAAGTGTCCCTTTAGGTCAAAAGCGGTTTTAGACCGGCTAGAGAACAGCGATAGTAAATCAGAACCACTTGCAGAATTGAGTGATAATGATTTGTGGGGAAATTCGTCATCAGACACTGAAAACGATTCTGCGACTTTGCTCAGTGATGTGTGAACTTGGCGCTATATTTCAAATTTCAGTGTTTTTGGTTTGATTATATATTGAATTAAATTTATTATTATATTATTATTTTTTATGACTATTTATTAAAATTAAATTTATGATTTCGTGTTTCAAATTTTATCCTACCCGGGTTGTTTACTAGACTCTTGTTCGGACAGATTTCAGTGAGTTATTCCTAAACATTACAGGCCTACAATAAAAAAAAACGACATAATTTCATGCAAAAATATGTACCACTTTGACCAAAGAAATACTGACATAATCAGACCGCTAGGGAGGCTACACACCTAGGCATTCAGACTGCTTCTACAAACATTTGTGAAAGAATGGGTCGCTCTTAGGAGCTCAGTGAATTCAAGTGTGGTTTGTGATAGGTTGCCATCATCCATGAAATTTCCTTACTACTAAATATTCCACGGTCAACTGTTAGTGGTATTATAACAAAGTGGAAGCAACTGGGAACAACAGCAACTCAGCCACCAAGTGGTAGGCCACGTAAAAATGACAGAGTGGGGTCAGCACATAGTGTGCAGAAGTCACCTACCGTCTGCAGAGTCAATAGCTAATGACCTCAGGGGCTGCAGGGGGAGCTGCACACTGAAGCTTTAGCCTTTACAAACACTTTAAATATAGCTGGATTGGATAAAAAATAATAAATATATCATCTATGTAGTAAGATGCTAACCATGGGCAGCCTTAGCAGTATGGAACTCCATATTTAAGGTAATATAAGGCTCAAACCATTTTTGCCGTATGCATGGAAATCTCACTACTGTTTATATAAAGAAGATAATATGACAGTTCTCACACTTATATGCACACCATGACATTACAATGTTCTGACATTACCATTTTAAAAGGACAGATCTTGGTATTATAATAAAGTGGAAGCAGCTGGGAACAACAGAAACTCAGCCACCAAGTGGTAGGCCACGTACAATGACAGAGCGGGTTAGCGCATGCTGAAGCGCACAGTGTGCAGAAGTCGCCAACTGTCTGCAGAGTCAATAGCTAAAGACCTTCAAACTTCGTGTGGCCTTCAGATTAGCACAACAACAGTGTGTAGAGAGCTTCATGGAATGGATTTCCATTGCTGAGCAGCTGCATCCAAGCCTTACATCACCAAGTGTAATGCAAAGCATCGGATGCAGTGGTGTAAAGGACGCCGCCACTGGACTCTAGCTCAGTGGAGACGTGTTCTCTGGAGTGACCAATCAAGCTTCTCTGGCAATACGATGGACATGTCTGAGTTTGACAGTTGCCAGGAGAACAGTACTTGCCTGACTGCATTGTGCCAAGTGTGAAGTTTGGTGGAGGGGGATTATGGTGTGGGGCCTTCTCATCCGACATCAGTGCCTGACCTCACAAATGTGCTTCTGGAAGAATGGTCAAACCTTCCCATAGACACCCTCCTAAACCTTGTGGACAGCCTTCCCAGAAGAGTTGAAACTGTTAGAGCTGCAAAGGGCGGGGCCAACTCAATATTGAACCCTACGGACTAAGACTGGGAGGCCATTAATGTTCATGTGTGTGTAAAGGCAGGCAGCCCAATACTTTTGGCAATACAGTGTATATAAACATTTCAGATCCAAATGTTCAGCAATGATTGAATGCATGTTAGTATTAGTTTCCATGATAGCAACAATAATTGCAAAAGGCAAATCGGTAGAAGCTCCTGAGCATGTGCCCTGGGTGTCAGGGTCTAGCAATGCTTTCTCAGAATAATGCCAGCTGTGGGGGTAAGCCAGCATTAGACTTATGAAACAACATTCTCCAAAGTCTCCAGTAGATGGAGCCATATGAGCACAAACACATATTCATTGTTCATTCGCCTATTTCACCATTTGAGGCATGTTCGTGGTCATTGGTTGGCTTGATTTAACTATATTCAAAGAAAATGTACAGACTGTGGACACAGGAAGGTGACCATCACCATAGTAATAACCACTACTACTGTGATCACTGCAATCATCCTGGTCCTGTGCTGGGCAGCATCCCTTCTACATAGTGCCAAAGGGGGTCGCTTGCTCCTCACTGCTGCCATTCACAAGACGCCTGGTATTTTTGTAATTACTAAAGGTATTTCCTCATTGGACAGGGTGAAGAGGCAGGGTCGTGATATCATGATCTTCACCTCATCCAGGAGAGTTTGCCTTGTATTCATTGAAAAAATAAAGGCTTCTTCTAGATGGTGGTAGTGCCGATAAGCAATCTGCTGTGGTCACTATGAAAATGGACAGCTGCTGGGCACAGGACCGGGAAGATTGCAGTGATCTCTAGCAGCGGCTACTACTACAGTGAGTGTCAGCTTCCACAATGGTGGAAGTTAAAAAAAACGACATACGACCAAACCAAAAACACCAATCTCACTAAAATCACCAATATCACCAAAAACACCAATCTCACTAAAATTCACCAAAATCACCAAAAACACCAATCTCACTAAAATCACCAATATCACCAAAAACACCAATCTCACTAAAATCCCCAATATCACCAAAAACACCAATCTCACTAAAATCCCCAATATCACCAAAAACACCAATCTCACTAAAATCCCCAATATCACCAAAAACACCAATCTCACTAAAATCCCCAAATCACCAAAAACACCAATCTCACTAAAATCAGCAATCTCACTAAAATCCCCAATCTCTCACCAAAAACACCAATCTCACTAAAATCAGCAATCTCACCAAAATCCCCAATCTCACTAAAATCCCCAATCTCACTAAAATCCCCAATCTCACCAAAATCCCCAATCTCACCAAAATCCCCAATCTCACCAAAATCCCCAATCTCACTAAAATCCCCAATCTCACTAAAATCACCAATCTCACCAAAAAACACCAATCTCACTAAAATCACCAATCTCACCAAAAACACCAATCTCACTAAAATCCCCAATCTCACTAAAATCACCAATCTCACCAAAAACACCAATCTCACTAAAATCAATCTCACTAAAATCCCCAATCTCACCAAAAACACCAATCTCAGTAAAATCCCTAATCTCACTAAAACCCCCAATCTCAGTAAAATCCCCAATCTCAGTAAAATCCCCAATCTCAAAATGCACCAATCTCAGTAAAATCCCCAATCTCACTAAAAATCCCCAATCTCACCACCAATCTCACTAAAATCACCAATCTCACCAAAAGCACCAATCTCACTAAAATCATCAATCTCACTAAAATCATCAATCTCACTAAAATCACCAATCTCACTAAAATCATCAATCTCACTAAAATCATCAATCTCACTAAAATCACCAATCTCACCAAAATCACCAATCTCACTAAAATCACCAATCTCACTAAAATCATCAATCTCACTAAAATCACCAATCTCACTAAAATCACCAATCTCACCAAAAGCACCAATCTCAGTAAAATCATCAATCTCACTAAAATCACCAATCTCACTAAAATCACCAATCTCACTAAAATCATCATCTCACTAAATGCACCAATCTCAGTAAAATCCCCAAACTCACTAAAATCACCAATCTCAGTAAAATCCCCAAACTCACTAAAATCACCAATCTCACTAAAATCATCAATCTCACTAAAATCCCCAATCTCACTAAAATCATCAATCTCACCAAAAGCACCAATCTCACTAAAATCACCAATCTCACTAAAATCATCAATCTCACTAAAATCACCAATCTCACCAAAAGCCCCAATCTCACCAAAATCCACAATCTCACTAAAATCCCCAATCTCACCAAAAGCACCAATCTCAGTAAAATCATCAATCTCACTAAAATCCCCAATCTCACTAAAATCACAAATCTCACTAAAATCCCCAATCTCACTAAAATGCCATATAAATTTAAAAAGCTGTCATTCCCTTACAAAATAAAAATATAGGCCATTCCCAGCAACCCAGTAGCTCTTATATTATATTTTATTGTTTAAATAGAATAAAGTGCCCCCCCCCCCCCATGCAGTGAAACACTTTATATATTCCTCACTATAGTTTCTACTCATAAATGATGAAAAAAAATAGAAAAATAGATTGTGATTTAGGATCTAAACAAAATGTATATTTCAATGATATGTTTATGCTCAGCCTATAGCTGAAAGTGGCTTTAACCACTTGCCCTCAAACGGATTTACCCCTGTTAATGAACAGGCCTCTTTTTGCTACTTAGCGCTGCACTGATTCGACTTATGCAATGCGCAGTCATGCAACGCTGTACCCAAACGAAATTTACGTCCTTTTTTTTCACACAAATAGAGCTTTCTTTCAGTGGTATTTGATCACCTGTGTGCTTTTTATTTTTCACGCTATAAACAACAAAAAAAACCTGAAAATTTTGAAGAAAAACTATATTTTTTACTTTCAGCTATAAAAAATATAGAGTAAACACAAAGCTAGCCATAAATTTAGGCTAAAATGTATTCTGCTCCATGTTTTTGGTTAAAAAAATCCCAATAAGTGTATATTGATTGCTTTGTGTGAAAGTTATAGCGTCTACAAGCTATGGTATAGATAATGGAATTTACACAGCTTTTACTTTCTGACTGCTTATTACATTTCTTGAGGTGCTAAAATACCAGGACAGTACAAATACCCCTAAATGACCTCTTTTCGGAAAGTAGACACTCTAAGCTATCTGCTGAGAGGCATATTGAGTCCATGAAAGATTTATTTTTTCCCACAAGTTTTATTTATTTATTTATTTTTTTACGCAAAGTTGTCATTTAAATTACTGTATTTTTCGCTCCACGAGATGCACTTTTTTACACCAAAAAATTGAGATAAATGCCTGTGCTGCTTATGGAGCGAATATGGAGCAGCCGGCCCAGTATTCCCCCCGTCGCCATGTTAGAATACAGGGCCGGCCGCTCAGCTCTTCTGTGGCAGCAGCAGGCAGCAAAGCAGCTGCCTCTTAAAGCGGAGTTCCAGCTGAAAAAAAAAAGTCAGCAGCTACAAAAACTGTAGTTGCTGACTTTTAAAATACAATCACTTACATGTTCCTCGGTCCCGCAGTGCCCTCACCACCGCTGGATTCACCGGCCGTCTTCTCTCCCTGGTGCCAGCATCTTTAGTGTGTGCCCACTGAGCATGCGCGAGAAGCGCTGCGCTTTGTGAATGGCCCCATAGTCTTCTGGGACCTGTCACATGTCCCAGAAGACCACGGGGAGGGAGGACAACTTCCAGTTCCGATTACCTAAGCGATCGCAGTGGAAGTGGGAGCAGGTACCTGTCAAATTCGGGTACCTGCTCCCCCCCTGCTCCCAAAAGGTCTGCAGTCTCTGGTCATCTCCTGTACTGTGTCTGCAGTCTCTGGTCAACTCCTGTACTATGTCCGCAATCTCTGGTCATCTCCTGTAGTTGTCCGCAGTCTCTGGTCATCTCCTGTAATATGTCCGCAGTCTCTGGTCATCTCCTGTAGTATGTCCGCAGTCTCTGGTCATCTGCTGTAATATGTCCGCAGTCTCTGGCATCTCTGTACTGGTCATCTCCTGTACTGTGTCTGTCAGTCTCTGGTCATCTCCTATACTATGTCTGCAGTCTCTGGTCGTCTCCTGTACTATGTCTGCAGTCTCTGGTCATCTCCTGTAGTAAATCCGCAGTCTCTGGTCATTTCCTGTACTATGTCCGCAGTCCATTCATTCAGAATATTTTTTTTCTTCTTTTCCTCCTCTAAAACCTAGGTACGTCTTGTGGTCAGGTGCGTCTTATGTTGCGAAAAATACGATATATATTTCTCACATAAGCCATGGGTATATGTGGAATTACACCCCAAAATACATTCTGCTACTTCTACCGAATATGGGGATACCACATGTGTGACAGTGTTTGGGAGCCTAGCCACATACATGAGCCTGAAATCCAATGACCACTTTGAAAGCATGAAGGTGCGTAACTTCCTCATTTTACTTCCTCACTACCTATCACAGTTTCAGAGGCCCTGAAATGCCAGGATAAACCCCTCCAAATGACCCCTTTTTGGAAAATAGACACCCCAAGGAATTTAAAAAGAGGCATGGTGAGTTTTTTGCAGATTTCATTTTTTCTCACAAGGTTTTGAAATATGAAAAAAAAAGAAAAGAAAATATATGTTTTTGTTTTCTTTCTTAATTTTCTAAAAACTTGTACCAACAAACAAGATCTGCAAAATACTCACCATGCTTCTTATCAAATTCCTTGGGGTGACTACTTTCCAAAAAGGGGTCATTTGGGGGAGTTTGGTGCTATCCTGGCATTTCAGGGCCTCCGAAACTGTGATAGGTAGTCAGGAAGTGTAATGAGGAAATAAAGCCTTTTAAAAGCCTGAAGGTGCTTATTGGATTTTGGGGTCCTGTACTTGGCTAGACTGCCAAAAAGTCTCTCACATGTAGTACCCCCATACTCGGAGAGAAATAGCAGAATGTATTTTGGGTAGTAATTCCACATATACCCATGGCATGTGTGAGCAGTAAATCATTTACTGTAAGTGACAATTTTGTGTAAATATTTTCCAAAAACTTGTGATAAAAAAATAAATTATTCTATTGACTCAACATGCCTCTCAGCAAATAGTTTGGGGTGTCTACTTTCCAAAAAGGGATCGTTTTGAGGGGTGGGGGCATTTTATGCCCAGCATTAGAAGTTTATGCCACAAATCATTCACTCTTCTAACCACCTGAAGACCAAGGCTTTTCTGACACTTTCTGTTCACATGAAAAAAATCAGTATTTTTTGCCAGGAAATTACTTTGAACCCCCAAACATTATATATTTTTTAAAGCAGACACCCTAGTGAATAAAATCCATAGGCAACATTTTAATTTTAAAAACCTTTACAAGCTACCATTTTAGATTTACAGAGGAGGTCCAGTGCTAGAATTACTGCCCTTCATCTGACATTCGAGATGATACCTCACATGCATAGTGCAACCACTGTTTACATACGGGCACAGGGCCAAAGCTAGCGCACAAAGGTGCACGCATGCGGGGCGTGGGGGTGGGGCGAGGGTGCTTTTTTAAAATAATTTTTACACTGTCCCTATCATTTTTTTTTTTTTATCGCTTTTAATGCTATCACAGGGAATGCAAATATCCCCTATCAATGGGCATTGTCATATATTCTTTTTTTGAGAAATATGGGGTCTATCAGACTCTAGATATTTCCTTTGCCCTTACATTATCTAATCAAACCAAGATCGGTGTGATCAGATGCTTTCCCAATTTACAAATGGTGCTGTTTATATCCTGCGAAACTGAAGTGATGAAATGCTAGTAGCTTCCGATTTCTTAGACTATAGAGATGATTGGCACCATTCCGGTCTCCAATCAGCTCTATGGTCAGCTGGCAGAAACACTGGCTGCATTCTCAGGTTCCCCCGATGGCACGGGACTGCCTGAGAAGAATGTGGAAGGCAGCGGGGGAGGGTGGCACTGTCTCCCACTGCTTGGAAAAGCAATCCTGCAGGAAATTAGCCACTAGGATTGCTTTTACATGAAAGCCGATCGCCAGCTGAAAAAAATGATACCAGGATGATGCCTGCAGCTGTAGGCATTATCCTGGTATAACCATTCAAAGCCCAGTGATGTACCAGTACGTCGCTGATCCTTGTTGAGTATATATGCTATGTTCCCTTTTTTTGTTTTTTTTGTATACAGCCTGTGGGTGAATGAAAAAAAGAGAAGAAATCTCTGCCAGAAAAAGTGTGTGCTATGCCCACTATTAGAATATACCGCCCTGCATCCGCCCTCTTCTAATGGTGGGCAAACATTAGGTTGCATGGTGCCACATTTGCCAATTCCAAGATTGTACAAATGTCTAAATAGTGTCACGCCTGAATAAAAATTGCCAACGTATAAGTGGTACCCCATATGGAAAAAGGATGACACCAAGTCCCAAACTATCTTGAATCTTATATGTATAGCTTGTTGCTCTCTCATAGGTCTTCTACATCTTAACCCTATATCTGGCATGCTTGCAGGGGAGAAATTGTTTGAATGCAAGGCGGCCAGAAAAAAATTAATGAGGGACTCATCAACACAGATTGTTTGCTGGGGAGTATAGACATCTGCAAATTTTTGGTTAAGGTGATTTACGAGGGGCTGAATTCTGTGGAGCCGGTCAAATTTAGGGTCACCCTGAGGATGACTGAGTGTATTGTCGTTGAAATGCATAAAACACGTTACACTCTCATATCTATACCTGGCCATGGCAGCAGAGAACTCGGGAATTTGATGAATCAGGTCTGTAGACCAATACAACCGCAATTCATTTTTTGTAGTAATGCCAAAGTTGAGGGTTAGGCCCAAAAAAAGTTTACATTTGGAAACCGTAATGGGTTTCCATGCGAATGGTCTGGCAAGGTTTGAATTTGGGTTGGTGGCAATAAATTGTTGTGCATAAAATTGCTTTGATCCACAATCAATGCATACAGATCTTCCATGAAAAACAGCTCTAAAAAATCAAGGGGAGTAATTCAATTTGCTGTTTCAACCAAAATTGGCAGTGAATGGGGGAAGTACGGGTGCTGATTCTGCGAACACTGCGGTTTTGTGTGCAATGTATCAAGTGACAGTGACCTACTGACACTGCACTTGCTGGGGGAGAAGGAAGGGGGGGGGGGGGTTAAGCGTAGGGGCTAAACGCAGGTGCTGGCAGGTGCAGGGGCTGATCCCGCTAATGCTGTGTTTTTGGGGACACTATACTAATGGGAACGCTGGATATCTGCATATTATATGCATATGTTAATCTGCATAAAGATATTGATTCGTTCAGACACTATACTAGCAATGGAGGTTTATTGTACATGAGCGTCTTCCTGGCAATCGAGGGGTTAAATGTGATTACTGGTGTACTGACGAGCAATCTGATGCTATCTGGGAGGGACGTGAAAACCATGGGAGCACGAATCACGTATATATACATGATTTTGCGCACCCTTGCCGCCCTGTAGCAGTATTTCTGCTATAGGGCGGTCAGAAAGCAGTTAAAGAAGCGGTCTGCATTACGGCGCTGCGTTACTTTAACTGACAATTGCGCGGTCATGCAATGCTGCAACTAGATGAAGTTTACATCCTTTTTTTTCCCACAAATTGAGCTTTCTTTTGGTGGCATTTCATCGTCTGTACGTTTTTTATTTTTTGCGCCATAACAAAAAAAGGTCGACAATTTTGAGAAAAAAACAAAACTTTTTGAGATTAAACATGTCCAGTAAAAAAATTTAAAAATCAAATCTCGTCATAAATTTAGGCCAAAATGTATTCTGCGACGTGTCTTTGATAAAAAAAAAAAAATCCCAATATGGGTAAGTTAATTGGTTTACGTGAAATGTATAGCGTTTACAAATGGCGGTATAGATACTGGAATTTTTTTATTTATAACAATAATGGCGGCGATCAGCGACTTATGATGATGATCAGCGACGACTTATAGCGGGACTGCGGCGGGCCTTCTGACACTGGGGGGGAACTGACTCGGTGTCACCGACATTCTCAGTGACACCAATACAGTGACCAGTGCTAAAAAAAAGCACTGACGCTGTACTAATGGCACGGGGCAGGAATGGGTTACAATGAGGGGCAAAGGGTTAACTATTTGCTGGGAGTGTTTTACTAGGGGGTGGGGTGTGTGTGCTTCACAGTAAGCCATCCTGAGCAGTGTGCCTGAACTGACAGGGAGGAGGGCTGTTGGTAAGCAATGCAGCCCTCCTCCCTGTTGGTGATTTATGGTAATCAACGGGCGCCGGCGGGTAATCACAGGCTGGGATCGGGTGACTGACACCATGGGGGCCGCAATCAGCGGCCCGGGTAGGTCGCGCACACCCCCTACCCGGAAATGCAGAATCACGTATATGTGATTTTGCGCACAGGGGCCCGCCCTGCAGTAGTAAATCTACTGTGGGCGGTCCTAAAGGGGTTAAACTCAAAACCAATAATGTAATAGATTGCATCTTACCAATCATTAGATGTGTTGGCAGAATTAGTTTTCTATTTTTAAGGTTTCTTTCTCATTTTCACCTGGTGATTTGGCCAGTAACACACCTTTGTATTACAGCGCCACAACTCTGGATGAGGAAGTACAGGGGCAGCTTTGGAAAGTAGTATTGCCAGTCTGGAGGGAGGGGAGTGTTGGGGCTTTCTTTACTCGCTCAGCAGATGCTCTTCTTCAGAGAATTTAAAGAGCCCGACACTCCCCTTTCCTGATAAACACCCAACCAATGCCAATCACACTGCAAGGTGCTGGAGACAGGCAATGAGGGGAGTAGGAGACAAACGTCGCAATGTTAAAAACATTAAAAGTTTAAGTCGCCATAAAGCCCCTTTTGTTTTTAAAAGCCCCAGACATTCCTAAATGCACCTTTGCCTAAGTAAAAACATCAACCCTTCAAATTTTTTTTGTTAGCCGGACAAGTAGAATTCCATGAGGGACAGAGAGATTGGGACCCTGATTTAGCCTTTTTAAAAATTTCCACACCCCTGAGACACCCCAAAACTATCATTTCAAGTGTAGAGCAGACCTCTAACGGACCTCTCAGATTTCTCCTGGGTTCTATTCCCGATTTTGTGCAAAGCAGCCAGACACACCGCTACTCCCCACAGTCTCACAACACAAAAGACCAGGCAGTGGGTGTCTTTTTAAGGTTTAATGCCTATTGAACTTGGTTGGGATGCAGGGTAAACCTTAGGGTTCTCAAACTTTAGGGCACAAAGGAGCAGAGGAAACGTTCTGGCATAACTAG